TGCTTATGTGGGTGGACAGAAAGGACCAAGGAGCGCTGCCTCCCCTCGCCCTTGGCAGAACATCCTCTATGGAGGCTATTTTTCACAAAGGAACCCATTTCTTTCAGAATTCCAAACACCTAGAAGTCACTGCCCACCTCTGAGCCCGTGTTCTGGGGACTCTCAAAGCTTGACTTCTCTGTAGGCGTCTCTGATCTGTCATAACACTCTTTCTGGTTCCCCTTGATAAAATACCCTCAGCTCACCTCTTCTCAACACCTTCACGCTCATCCCTCTGCTCCAAGCCACTGCCAGCTCTTGCCTGCCTCTCTCTGCTTGTCTCCCTCCATCTGCCCTTGTCCCGGTGACCCCACGGTCAACACGCAGCCGCCACGCTCCCTCCCCCTCCCCCATCACCATCCCTCCTCACCCTTGCTCTGCCCCTCACCCCCCTCCAGTCCTGCTACTTCCTGCAGGGCCCACCGTGTTCACTGCACCTTCTCTCTGTGTAGGTGACCTTCTTTTTCTTAAGGTTTGTTTTATTCTCATTCAAGAGAGAGCGGAAGAGAGAGAGGGAAATGGGGTGGAGAGAGAAACATCAGTGTGAGGAGAAACACCTCATCAGCTGCCTCCTGCATGCGCCCCAGTGTGGGGATCAAGCTTGAAACCTGGGCATGTGCCCTGATTGGGGACAGGACCGGCGACATCAGGGTTACAGGATGACCCTCCAACCTAGTGAGCCACACTGGCCAGGGCTGGGCAGGGACTTTCTTACTGCTTGTCTTTTGACCTCTCTGGTCCACCTGCCCATCTCCTCCGGGCCCTGCCCCTCACAGCCTACCCTTCCCCTTGGACTTTGCACTATCTCTGTGTATCCCTTGTCTAGTTTGCCTGCTGTCTCCCACTGTTAAAACCTAACTTTCACAGGAAAGAAATCTTTGCCCCTTGCTGTGTTCTCTGTGCCCGGGGCCAGTGCCTGGCTCAGTGACTGCCCAGCAAACGCTCTGGGGAAGAGGCATGATCAAGGTCGTCTGGATCCTGAACCGGAACAGGAGACCAGAACGACCTCAAGGCTCAGTTTAGGTCACAGGCCTTAGTGGGGATTGACAACTACAGAGGTAAAACTGATTTTTAAACATAAGCTCCTTTCATTTTCCTCTCCTAACCGGGAAAGTCACGTCCACGTGGAGAAAGGGGTCAAAGGGAGAAGGCAGAGCAGCACGGCCTCGGGCGGGACCGCCCGTCTGAGGGCTCCCTGTGCTCAACTGGACTCTGAAGGCAGAGCAGATGAGAATACCCAAACCCATTTTTTAAAACTCAATAAATGCATTATTCTTAATGATGAGGCTCAGTCATTATTGGAGTTAATAAATTCTGCAAAAAAATGCCTCTGCACGTGCCTAACTCCCTTCTTATTTCGGGACAACTGCCTGGGAACTAGATGTAACCAGATACCTGGGCTTCCTCCCTGTCTGTCAGGTGTCAGCCAGCCAGACGCCCTGAGTGAGGGGCCGTGGAAGGGGCTGGGGCAGGGGCTGGGGCAGGGGTGGGGTGGCTGGAAGGGCAGCCCAGTCCCAGCTGCCCCAGCCGGCTCACACCCAGAAGTGGGGGAGGGACCAGCCCAGAGGGCGCAAGTGCTCACATCAGATTGCTTCCTGACAGGCAGAACTCAATGAATTCCATCTTTTCACCTCCCACATGCCTCCTCCCAACACGCGCTTCCTGACCAGGCGTCTCCCAAGCTGTGGCATTAGGTGGGTGAGGGCCTTCTCCATCTCCACACTCGGAGTCTTTGCTACCCCACTCCGCTGCCCCCTTGCCCTCACATTGACCAGGGCCAGTTCCACGTTCCATCAGGAAAACGATTGCATCCACGTGGGGCCTGGAAATGGTGCTCACTGGTGGCCACCAGCACCACCCCCAAGGGGAGAGGTTGGGAGGCATGTGTCTTGTGAGCTGCTTGTTTCTGTCATAACCATTCCTGAGTTGCTTTGGTTGTTTCACCAAGTACAAGGCAGCACCCCTCAATGGCATTCCAGCCTAGCCAGCCTCCTGGGGCCAATGTGCAGGGTGTGGGGTGCGGGGCAGCAGCAGAGCCCCCCGCAGAGGAGGCCTTCAGGGCCAGAGTGCACTGCAAGTCTCATCTTGCTGAGGCCTGGCACTCGGGACCCAGCATGGCCAGCACTGTCCACGACTAGCTTCCTCACAGTCCAGGTTCCTCTAGAGTTGTGCTTTGAGAGCTTGGCTTACAGCATTCAGGACTTTAATGCTCATTCGCTGCTTTAACGACAGACCTTCTGCAAACATGTGTCTGGGTCTCCTCTGTCCCCAGCCCTGGGATCACTGTCCCATCCGGGCCCCTCCCTTGAGTTATGGGGGTTCTCCCCCTGACAGAGGCAACCCTATCCCTTGTAACTGGCAAGAGGGGGAAAGGGCAAAGCACACTTCTCAGCAGTTGCTGCCCAGTAGACAGAATCCCTGGCTTTAGCTGTTGCTAACCCACCTGGGAGGGAGGGCCCCCGGGAGGGGCCACCCTGTGCAAGTGCTTCCTGACCAGGTGCGTGCTCGCCCCAGGCGGCCCCACAATTGTGGCTGAGCTTGAGGAGCCTCCAGGGGACAGAGTGTTTGCGGGGACCATGGGTGCCCAGCTGACGGGAAGCAGGACAAACTGATGGGACCCAGCAAATCACAGGAGAACTGTGTGACAAGCAATCTGCCGTTTTAAAAATATAACATTTATTGCTTAGATGGTTTGATACAGAACAGCTTTTCTTCTCATTTTGAATTTGAAAGTACTATACAACTGAATACAAAGAGGAACAAGAGTACCAAAACTAAACTTGTGATTCTGTTCATGTGGCATAAACCAGTTTTGTACATAATATGTAGCAGCAGTTTTTAAGTTCCCTTTAGAAAAATATGAATTCTACATATTTATTATCGTTTCCTGTTTAATGCATGGGCTGAAATCACTAGGATCAACTTCCTTCTTGAAGAAAAGAGAGGAGAGAAAAGACGAACAGAGGGTGAGGGTACGACGAATCTTTCTGAAACCGGCATCCGACTGTCACAGAGCTCCCCCAGGCTGCGTGAAGAAACAGCCCTTTGGGGTTTTGTTTTGTTTTCACAGCCAGAAGTTTCATGTAGTGATTGAATCTCAGCATTGTGTCCACAAATCAAAGAGAAAAACAAGAGAGAAACTTGCACCTCAAAAAACTTTTCAGAAGATCCATATATATATATTTTTTGTAAAAGCCCTGAGAGGAGAAAGAGAATCAAACAAAATGTATAGAAACAAATTAGCTGGACATGCAACTAAGCTATGATTCACCCAGAGTTTAAACAAATCACAAATTTCACAGTTTAATACAGGGGAAGGGGCAGAACAACAAACAATACATTTCTCAACCTCACTAATAAAATGTGGCAAGACCTTATTGACTAAGAGGGCACAGAGGAAGGCTAAATAAAGCTTTAAATCAATAGTGATTATTGCGAGCGGCAGCCCCGGCGGCACTGCTGGGGCGGTTCCTGCTACATCTCACTGCAGCGTAGAGTTAAGTCACGGCTTCTCTCCACAATGTTGCGAGTTTTAGTGTGGAGAGTTGCAAAGAAAAAACAAAACTAGAAACCCCAAATAATAACAAAAATAACAATCATCATAAAAAATTAAGGGATGCATGGACTGGTTTTAACTAAGCAGACCACACTGGGTATGAAGTGATACAGGGATCCTTGGTTCTGATGTGCATTCATCTAGAGCAAGTAACAACCTCGTTCTGAGACTCGTTCATACATCCCTATTACAGTTAAAAGTTATACATATATACCTCAACTTCTTTCCCTTCACATGCAAAGATGTCACTTTTCATTAATTCAAGACTATGTATCTTCCTTTGAAATCTGGGTGGTTAGATTTTGGCCACCAGCAACTGGTGAGGAAGTGGGAGAACAGGGTCCATGTGCCTCTGCTGCACACTTACAATGAGTGTGAAGGAGGTGCACTCGGGGGGCCCCCCCAGAGCAAGGCAAGAGGGTTTGGGGGTGGAGCAGCACAGAAGGCCCGGCCACACTAAGCCTTGGGCGTCCTGGAGGTCCCAGCTGCAGGACAGGATGCTGAAGAAGCTCAGCTACAGTAGGATTATTTCTTTTCACTGCTGGCACCTGCAGCGAGGGAAGTCTATTGCCTGCATAGGATGCTTAAAAAAAAAAAAAAAAAAAAAATCCTGTCGTTTTGCACCCAGGGGTTCGTTATTTCAGAAACTAGAAACATGTATCTTTAAGCACCAATCCCAAATCGCAGGAAGGTAAATATAAATCTGTCTCATCTTCAGTCTTGCATGTGCAGTTTTATTACCAGTAGTAGTATTTTCTCGCTTTGCAAATGACAGTAGCACACGCGGGTAAGGCTGGGCTGGGTTTGGCAGAAGACCAGTGAGTAGCAGGTCTCCTCACTGCCTGGCTTCCTCAGAAGCCCCGGGTGCATGCACCCTCACTCTCCCCTCTGAGCTGCTCCTCAGCCACATGTGGAGAACCTGCTGGAGTCTGCAGTCACAGAAGAAAGGCTTGTGTAAGTACAGTAGAAGAGCTCCCACCCTAGGGTGGCAAGGAAAGCTACGGGCAGATGCTTATGAGTGACCCGGGCACCCAGGTCTCCAGGACAAATATTGCCCATTTGTTTCTGCTGACTACAGAGACCAGCAAACTGATGAACTAAAAATAATAATAATAATAATATTAATTATATATATATCAAAAGGGGGGAACCAGATACAGGACATCTGTGTGTGTTCTCCATACATTAAGTTGCCGGGGTAACTCTTCTCTGTAAGTTAAGAATATCTTGAGTGTCTTGAACAGGAAATGGCTTATCTAATGCTGAAAGAGTGGGAACAGGTATGAGGTGGAAGCTAGAATCTGTCCTGGTTTGGGCCTGAACCAAACTGGAAACCTCCATCAACTACACCCTGCAATACCAAGGATGAAGTTACCACTCCACCACCATATAGCAGACCAAAAAGTCTATTTGAGAAATGAGCATTTCATCCATATTACCCCTGGTAATTTATGTGAAATTCACATCATTTTCTTCCAGTTATTGGCTGTGGGTGTCCAAGGGCATATTTTTCTTCTGTTTTCAGCTCACAGAACAAACGTTACTATCACAGACTCGCTGAAACAAGCTCTCACACAGCAACACAGAAGGTCACGTTAATGCTTAAATGAAAGGTTCTCTCCAAATAATTCATTACAATATCTGCTTTGTGTTTTAAAGTCATTTGGAACAACACAACACCCAGGACAACAGTGAAGGGCTGGTAAGTAGTTAAGGCACTCGAATTGTCTGTGCTGGTCTCCCGCATGGGCACGCGGTGCGGCCACGCACCGAGGGGGCTGGCCCTCTCTGGCTCACCTCTCTCCAACAGCTGAAGGGCTCTGGGGACCTCATGAAACGTCGATTCAGGGCACTGTGCCCTGCTGCCTGTCTGTGTGCCAGGGGCAGTAGGAGCCATCACTCCATTCCCAGCAGCGGCGAGGCGCCATCGGTGGCCAGGCCAGGGTGGGAAGGCCTCTTGCCGTTCAGCTCCAGCAGGTCTTGCACGAGGGCCACCGGGCTCTCTGGGTCAGGGTCACCCTGAGGCACCTGCTCCTTGGGGCTGCTTGGGGGAGCGGCCTTGGGTGCACCCCTGCCAGCTTCAGCCTGCAGAGTACCAGTCGTCCGACCCACAGCCCGGTCCTCCCTGCGGCTGGTGTCCTTGGCCAGGCTGTCCTTCCGGCTCCGGGTGACAGCCATGTGGTTGCTGGCCGGCAGAGCTGAGTCGGCCTCGTTCTCCGAGACGGGGTTGTTGCCGCTGTGGGTAGACTCGCTCTCACTGTCCTCCTCGCCCCGCTCGTCCTTGTCGCTGTCCTTCCCGTGATGTTTGGCGTGCCTGGCTTTCTGGTGGACCCGCTGATGGCGAACCAGGCTGTGCTTCAAGGTGAAGGTTCGCTCGCATGTCTGACATTTGTATGGCCTTTCTCCTGAAGTAATGAGGGAAAGATGTTAGGTCTATTAATGGTAAGGCCACCAGTAACACCTCTTGGCTTTGCCCAAGAGCAGCCGTGTGAGAAAGGCAAGGGGCAGCAGGAGGCAGGGGCCAGGACTCCGTCCTATGCAGGGAAACCCTCTTATTCGTCGGAACTGGCAGCATGGGGAAGCAGACATGCCAGGCGCCAGACATGACTTCCCTTTTCCTTCCATCTCTTCATCCAGGAGCCAGGTACTCATGGAAGGACAGCAGCAGCTCCCTCCCACAGGGGCAGCCACCGCTCCTGAGGGCTCTACCAAAAGTGGTACCTCCTCCATCAGAGGCACGAGACAGTGTGTGTCCTGATATCAAGTAGCTGGGGCTTCCCTCTGGCTTGAAAATACCAGGCCGTGAGCAGCTAAGACCCCCACCTGCCAGGAACCCAAGAATACCTCTCTGGAGGAAGGCCAGCCCCAGAGCCCTCCGAACCCCCCAGCCCAGGGCAGAACGGACCACATGAGGTGGGGCAGTGTGTGGGGAGCATGTGTGTGCACCCTGCTGGCTGGGAGGCAGGAGGAAAGCCAATCTAAGGCCAGGGTCTGTCCCCCCACTCCAGAAACGGGGGGCAATATGCTTGCATCTCTTTGCTTCATGAGTGTATACAGGTCTCCTACTTTCTACCAAAACTACAGCCTCTAGTGTGGGGTTTGTAACTTCAACCTCATATCCCATGAGTTCCAGGAGGGAAAACAGACCCCCCACCACCTCCAATGGGCCTACAGCCAAGACAGGAAAAGCCCCTCGTGGGCAAACTTTCCACCTGAAGCCTCATCCTAAGATAAACCCAGGAGCCTCCAAACAGAGCCCCAGAGATCACCTAACCCTACTACCTGTTCCCCAGGCCACACTGCCCAGTCCTTCCAGGCTCAGGACTTGATAACACCCTGGGCCCAATGCAGTCCTTGCCCCCATTCTAAGGACAGGAAGTCTGAGGCTCAGGGGAACTGATCAAGGTGCTCTCAAGAACAGCACGGCTGAGGGCCCACCCCACGGCTCCCTGTCAGGAGCCTGTATGTTTCAGGTGCTCAGGAAACAGCCTGTTGGAGTCCCAGTGTGCAGGGCTCAACGGGTGCATGTGCAAGCTCCACCACTTCTCTCAGCCCCCGGTCACTGCTCTGCCTCTTTCTCACTGCTTCTGGGGAGGCACATCCTCCAGACAGGTGGGCCAGAGGGAAGGAATGGAACCAAATCGGACCCCACTTAGCAGGCTGGGGAATGGGCACCACCCCCCTCCCGGAGAGAACCTCAGGCCCCCCAGAGGCCAGGCCACTCTTACCCGTGTGGGACCGCATGTGCCGGGTCAGGTCCTGCAGAGACCAGAACCTCTTGTTGCACACGGTGCAGACCTTCTTTCTCTTGTCTGCCTTGCTGGACACACTTCTGGAGGTGTCTGTCTTTGGCTTCTTGTCGTCCTCACTCTTCTCTGAGGACTTCTTCTCAGCTGTGCCCTCCCCATCAGAGGTGCCCTCGGCCTCCTCACTCCGCTTCTCTGATGTGCCTTCCGACATGGCCTCCCCCTCAGCCGGGGGCTCGGGCTTCTCCTCCGGCTCTGGGATAGGGGCAACAGCAGCGGGGACAGGCATCGACCCCTCAGCGCCCCCGCTCTCTCCCTGGCCCTCCCGCAGGAGTGCACTCTCCTCCCTGGGCACCTCACGGCCATGGGCCTTCCTGTGGCGGCTCAGGGTCCCGAGGAACTTGAAGCTCTTGCCGCAGGTGCTGCAGGTGTGCTTCTGGTCCTGTGGGGCCGGGCCTCCGCTGCCCACAGCACCAGAGCCGCCCTCGGCCAGCTTGAAGTCCATCAGTTTGCTGGCAAGATTGAGGTCCAGGCTCTTGTTGCTAACTGTGTCTTCCTCCGGGCCATCTGCGTCCTCATCCCTGTCCTCTGCACTGTGCTTCCCCTCAGGCTCTGGGCTCTCCTCGGCTCCCCGCTCCTCCCCATCCACAGGCTCAGCCACTCCCTGAGTCAGCTCCTCCACAGGGAGCTCTTCTTTGACCTGGCTGGGCTCAGGGGCCCCCTCTGACCACGGCTGGTCCTTCTCCCGAGAGGTGAGGTCCAGCACTTCGCCTCCTGTGGATGATGCCTCCATGTCTGATTGGCTGTCTGTGGGAGCAAGCACAGGGGCATGGGTTGAGACCAAACACCATCACACGTGCTCCTTCCAAGGGCTCTGTTGTGATTCTCAGCTGGACCCACCCCAAATTGTCACCCCTTATATCATCCCCGAGGGCCCAAATGAATCTGGGGTTAATTTATAAAAGGCAGAAAGGCCTTCCACATACACACAGGCTGGGGTCACAGGGCTGGCTGCGCTCCCCTTTTCTGCCCACTGGCGGCGCTGGGTGCCCTCCCCTGCCGCACACAGGGATGCTTAGGCCCCAGGGAGGTGTGAGCGACTGCGGGCAGCACAGACAGAAGGAATGGCGAGAGGAGAGTTGGTGCATTCCAGAGATTCGCAGTGCGAGGGAGGCTGAGGAAGCTGAGCTGTAAGTTATTTCTGAATGCAGAGATTATACAAACATGCAACAGACACGGAACCACCCCAAACACGGGGTCTGATGACGAAATGGCCCAAAGTGCAATAGTACATGCTCTGGCTTGACGCCTAATTTCCACGTGGAGTTCCAAGGCAAAAGGAGACACGTGCACACCGACGGGGCTCCCTGGCTCCTGTCAGGGCCCCACGTAGGGAGTGGAAGCATCTCTGTCACTCGAGTTGTTCCTGCCTTTCTACTCTCTACAGCGAAACCAAAGGGAGGGAGTCTGTCAGTTTTTAAGACCTCAAGGGATGGTACCGTGGCAAAGCTAATGACACGAAACAGACGGCAGTATTTATCATCTCCCTTCAGGTCAGACAGGGCTTACCGAGATTTTAATTTACGTGCTATAGCAGTGAGGCTGTCTGCTGAGACCTACTGTTTAACTACAGATCTGATGTCCAATCTATTAGGCCAAAGGAAGTTGCTGTTTCACAGCACACGCATGAGGTGTGCGCCATCACGGGAGAGCCCTGACTGCGCAGTGCGTGAGCCGGTGGACTCGCACCTCCCCCGGACCCTCACTGGGTGGATATGACGCACAGCCATGTCCACCCATGTCCATCGCTCTGATTCACGTGCTGGGTCGTCTGCCAGCACACTGGTCCTGGGCTCAGGCGAAGGACTAGGCATCAGCCCTCTCGGGGCACACCTGCCTTGGGATTTTGGTTTACCTCCCACCATCTGCTCGGCACCTCCACTGACATAATTTCATCAGCTTTATTCTGCCTGTGCCACTTGGCAGCCACTGTCTGAGTATCTCAAGAGGTTTCAGAAGGAAAACAAATAATTATGGTGTGGCTATAAAATTTCTGACAGTGATTTTAAAAAATTATCCATAAGTTTAAAGAAGATGAATCCCGAGCTATACATACCAATGCCTAGGCCATATGCTAAGGATAAACCAGGCGCTCATTTTCTTGAATCATTCCAATAGGAAGCAGTTAGTAAATGGATTTTAGTATAAACTCTTCAATAAAAAAAAATATAAGACGCTCAGTTTCTTACTTGTTGGCTTTGTAGTAGTCACTAAATAAGAGGCTTAATTTCTGGTTACTTCCTATTTGCTCCAGTACATTGTAGGTGGTTTCTCCTATTAACTTTTTTTCACTAAAGAACATGGATTATTTCAAATTTCAATTATAGAATATATTAAGATGATCGTGGGGGAAAAATCATAATGAATTCTGAAACTAAACCCAAGTAAACACACTAAGATCAGATCATTCTAACTTCTGGGTCTTTCCTTAGTGTGGGTAATGCAGCGTTCACCCTGAATTCGATGAAAGGCCAACTTCTGGTGAACGAAGGGGCTTGGCTGTGCTCTACCAAACTTCCACTAGGGGGAGGGTGTTAGCAGGGCAGCCCGGGCCCCTCAAGGGCCAAGCAACTTTTATTAGTGATTTTTGGGAACAATAGGCTTAACCTCTTCTCTTCATCTAGTGAACACCCAGCTCATAATAAACCAGGTCCTGTTTTGATCCCTGCCCTCCTCAACCACCCACACTTCCAAATAGAGGTAGCCAATGACTTTCATAAGCAATGCTACCTACCTTAATCTAATGCCTTTCTTCTTTGTCCCTATCTGCCCCTCTCTTGTGGTGCTACACCTAAGAACACTGCTAAGGAAGCAGACAGAATCTGGACAGCACTGCCTCTTCCTACAGGAAAGTGGGGACTTTCACGTCAGCTCGACAATGAAGTGTCTACTGTCTTCTAGAAGTTCCAAGTTACTCAGCCGATGTGAAAAACCACCAAACTACATACCTAACCTGATTGGGCAGGGGCAAGGCTGTTTGGGTTGCTCTGACTGTACCTCACCTACCAAGCAGCACCTAGGGCTTCTGGGCTGCTAAGCGGGACCAACCATTATGGGGCAGTTCAAAAAATTTCACACTTATGCTGATTTAAAAAATCAGATGTAGGTGCCCACAAATATGAAGGCTCCTAAAGGCATCATCTGAGGGAAAAAACACGCAAGAATTCCCCCAGGGCGAAGCAAGCCCTGGTACCTCTGGCTGTAAGAAATGAGGGCGGCAGCCCAGTTCAGCCCTGAACGAGCAGTGTGCCCCTGTGAGCAGAACTGCTCCCACCACAGCCTTTCCCACGTTCCTTTGGGGAAGATCTAGGGTGTATTTTTGTGAAAGACCTTATGTGATGGAAAAAGTCAGACCTACGTTATAAAACACGTTTAGGGATTTGGAGAAAATGCAACCCAAGCATATATGCCTAGAAACCAACTCCAGAACTTCCTTGGTCATTTCCTGCCTTTGTTTTTTATGGTCTTCCTCTAAGGCCCCACTTTTAACTCCATGGGAGGGAGCGCCTGAAGGAAACCATCACCCCTCCATCGTTCTCACCTGGTTTGAAAACTTCCTGAAATCACTGAACCTCACCTTCCTAACCCCGTTTCTTCCCTTCTTAAATCTCAGTCCTCTTTCCCAGCATGGACTGTGGCCACAATGAAACCAAACGTATATTTTCTCTTTGCTGGTCTCACATTAAAACTTCCAGTGACTTCTCTTTTTCCAGAGGCTTTTTCCTTTAAAGAAAACCTATAAGGTGGAGGTGAGGAAGGGCTCTGATGGGACTTGGAAAAATGAAACCCCTAACTACAAATTTAAAAACTAGACACACCCACAATGTAAAACTTGGTGCTGAACCAAAGCTAAGATACAAATTCCAATCAGCTTGGTGTCTGCGGGCTTCTACGGCAGCCTAAGCCCCCTTAGGCATCAGCGGGAGTCCCAGCCTTGATACTACTCAGTGCGATCGAGAAGGTGAATTCCATGTGCGCATCCAGCACTCGGTCATGACTCTTTAAGACCTGTCTGTGGAATCTGGAAGTCAAGGGCACCCCTCAACCACCCCGACTGTCCGAGGCTCGCCCTCCTTTGGAATCACTGCAGGTAAAATCACATAGCCACTTTCTAAATGGGGCTGCCACCAGGTCATGCAGCACCCACTGTTAAACTTTAAGAGCAGTGGTTCTGCCAGCATCACTCTGCGTTTCCTGGGGCTGAGCAGCAGATCATCCACCACCTCTGGCTCAAGGGGATCCAAGTCACAGCAAGATTCTGTGGGCGTCCACATCTTTCTTTCCTCAAAGATCCTGGCAAATTATGTGGGAATGCAAGCTAGGGGTGGAGCCAGCAAACCAGCCTACATTCTTATACCCTTAGAGGGTTTGATTTTAACTAAAGGGCCTGGCAGTTCAAGGGCTTGTCTCACCAGGGCTCAGTGGGAGGTATGAAGTTTAAAAAGCAGAGGGTTCCGGATCACATCCTCTTCCTGGACATGCTACCCATCCAGATGTGCTCCTCCCTGAGTAAATAACGGAGATAAGGACAAGGGGGCCTGAGATTAAAGTCCACACTGCCTTGGGGGGAGGACTCCCAGACAACACAGCACCCCATCTCCACCCAATTCTGAGGGAGAAAAAGCACAGGACAGAATTACAACCCTAGAAAAATACATCTGGGGGGAATCTCATCAGCTTTAAGCAATGGAATGGCAAGCTTTCAAGATTTGCAGAACTGAATCCATACCGGTGAGACTGTGATTAACCAATGGCGAGGAACCTGCGTGTCTAAGTGACCTGCAGGAGCCCGTTTGTGTATTGCCTCAGGGGGTGAGAGTGCTGACCCCCAGCAGCTGCAGATAACCAATGTACTGAATAGAGAACATGAGTAAATACAGAAGCTGTAAGGGGGAAAAGGTGGCAGGAGACTCACTGGGCAGCTGTTAATTGCTCTGTAGGGGGCTGGAGGAAGGAAGCGCATATCAGCACAGGAGAATAATACCCGGATTCAGGTCAAGCAGAGATGTGATTAAGGAAAGGACATGCAGAGTGCTTTTTCAAACAAGACAAAGTTTTGTTTTACTGGGAAGAGAGTTATTGAAAAGGAAACACCACACCCCACTGTCCCTGACAGGGGCCGGGCATCCCCAGTCCCTGCAATACCCTGACATCTGGTGAGCCAGTCCCTGCTCAGCGGGGTTCAGCAGAGGCTGGGCTTGAGGAAAACACCCCAAGCCTTTAAGGTTGTTGTGTTGCTACCAAGAGCTAAAACTGTACACCCTCCCTCATGTGCCATCTCCAGCAGGGCCCACAGACTGAACAAAGAGGTCTGCTGGGAGGGCAGATCTTCCCTAGTAGTCAGAAAAGCAATTGAGGGGCACTGCCACTGTTTCCCACATCCCCACCGGCTGGCTGCATGCTCCCAGCCCTGGCCAGGGCCCACCTTCCTAGACTATGGGGTCCTACAGGGAAGTGGCAAAGGCAGCCTGCCATGCTTTGGAGGGCTGGAGTTTGCCAGGAAGCTAAGCAAGGTTAACCTGGCTAAGTGATCGGTTCTCCTCTGTCCCTCTCCTCTCCATCACCTGGAAGCACTACCTGTGCTATCATGGGGTCCAACATCACTCTCTTTTGACTGGGGAATAAGCCCGTTTCTTCTCAGGGAACAGTTGGTAACTCCATGTTTGCGCAACTGGTGGCGTTCACAGTTAGATTTGGTAGAAAAGAAGGCATCGCATTTTTGACAAGGGAAGGGTTTCTGACCTGAAGCAGGAAAAAAAATAGATATTTATCTGGCTTTCTACTGCAATAAAAGTCGCTTTCGATTCATTTTCCTGGGATCATTGGCATTTGCTTCTCCCTCCTCCACCCCATTCTAAGAAAATAAACAAATCACATAAAAAAAACCAACCCTGAACACAAACAAGCCAAATGATCATCTTCCCTTAGTCTGAGTGGGATGGAATGAATGTTTTTTAATTTCAAAATACCAAAAGTGAAAAATGAAACGAATATACAAATGTTTAAACAACAGTATTACAATTAAAAATCTTAAATAATTACAAGTGAGTGAAGGGATTTTAGAGCACAGCAAGAAAACATGTACAGTTTGTCCCCAGGAGAAGACAGCTTTGAATAATTTCTAGCATTGCATGTACTACCACGCAGGCTGGGAACTCAAAGGGGACGCCCAGCCCTCCTGCAGGAATCTGGAGTCCCGGGGATCTTGAGAGGTGAGTTCCCTTCCCTGACCTCCCCAGGCGGACCTCCCACAGAGAGGGGTGGTGGGCTCTGCCTTCCAGGACTCCTCCTGCCTGACCTGACCAAACGCCCTGCAGTGACCTCTGCCCAAGGTCACTGTGTCCCTCAGCAAGTCAAAGGAGGTCTGGTCACTGCACGAAAGGTTCTTTGTTCCTCTGCTTTAGGCTCTGGCCAGTAGTAAATAAGTGACCAACAAATCCTGAGTCTGCATTAGGCTATCATATGCTCCACTCAACAGACCTGCCTTTGGAGAGAAGTCACTGAACGGCCCCTGTCCCATCCAACTCCACCAATGGGGTCACCTGTTGAGAGAGGGGCATGCCCTTTCTTCTCCCCAGGAATGACCTGCTTTGGTTTGCCTATCCTCTCCTTTTTTTTGGATTCCTTTTGTGCTGTAAACATGATGTTTCAAAATGCAAGCCAGGCTCCTCTGCAACTTGTGACTTGTTTGCATGATGGGTGTGAGGTGAATAGCAAGAACCAGAGCAGAAAGTGTGGACAGAGGGAGGGGTGGGGGAAGGAAGTGACTAGGTGGGCCTCAAGAGAGAGAAGAGAGGGTAAATCATTTACTGTATCATTGGATTCTTCTGTTTCCCCCCAATCTCCAGATTCTAAGGCCCCAGGTTTTTATTTTACAAGATAAAATGCTTGTGTACTAATAAACACGGATTCAGAGCGACAGCCCAATATGTCTGTCTTGTAACCTTGGGAATGCCACTATCAGACACACGTTAAGAAACGATAGAAAAAAAATTAGAGCTGCCATATGATCTAGCAATTCCATTTCTGGATATTTATCCAGAGAAAACAAAGACAGTGGTTGGAAAAGATATATCCACCTTATGTTCACTGAAGCATTATGAGAAACAGCCAAGGTACAGAAGTCACCTAGACGTCCACCCTCAGATGAAGTGGTATGCATGCAGAGAGCACGAGGAAACACAGAAGCTGGACGGAGGAGAAAGGTGGCAGGACATGCCCCGGGCGGCTCTGCAGGGGCCGGAGGACAGAAGTGCATATCCGCACAGGAGGACATACATGAGTGCACACACACAGCAGAATATTATTCAGCAATAAAAAAGAAGGAAATCTTGCTATTTGTGGCAACATGGATGGACCTAGAGGGTATTATGCTAAGTGAAATAAGTCAGACAAAGACAAATATTATATGATTTCACTCCTATGTGGAATCTAAACAAAACAAATGAATAAACGAGACAGAAACAGACCCACAGACACAGAGAACAAGCTGATGGTTGCTAAAAGGGGAGTTGGGAATAAAAATAATAATCATAAAATAATTTTTAAAAAGCATGACACTAAATGCCATGCATGAATCCAAACTGGATTACAGACTAGAAAAAATTAGCTCAAAAGGGCATTTTTTGGGCTAGCTGATGGAATTTGATTATGACTGTGGATTAGGGGGAAAAAATAAAGAACTGTCAGGAAAGTCAACCTGCACCGTTTATTTATTTAGTTTTTAAGATTTATTTATTTTTAGAGGGAGGGGAAGGGAAGGAGAAAGAGATAATATTTAATCCACGTGTGGTTGCCCCTGGCACACCCCCAACTAGGGACCTGGCCCACAACCTAGGCATGTGCCCTGACTGGGAATTGAACCAGCAACCTTTCCGTTTACAGGCCAGCACTCAATCCACTGAGCCACATGAGACAGGGCAACCTGCACCACTTAGATACCATGAACGAGGCCTAAACTAGTGCAGGTGCACAAGCCCAGGCACTCACTGCAATGTACACAGAGGCTCCTGGGCTTCTCCAAGGGGAAGGAGGGACTAGTATCATCATCTCCCTGCCACATAACTCCTGGGCTGCCAGTCATGCAGAGTGGGCTGCGGTGCGACCCAGCACCGAGGAAACCTCTGCCCCGCTAAGTTCAAGCGTCAGTGCTAATCAAGGCAGGGGACATTCACCCTTCCTGAGCTGAAAGGCCCTTGCAGGCAACGGTTCCAAATCACCCGTGGGGCTTTTCAAAAATATGGATGCCTGTACAGATGAAGCATTACAGAATTACACCTCTGTAATCTATATAATTTTATTAACCAATGTCATCCCAATAAATTCAATAAAAATGTAAATACATAAATAAGGGGGGAAGAAAGAACATAGATGCCTGGAACAATCCAAGACCAGGGAACTGGAAACCCGGTGATGAAGGTGGCGAGTGGAATCAGTTTACCTTTGCAGAGCTCAGAGTTTCTGCTTTTTTTATTGTTATAAAACAATAAAAAAATCACGTTTTTGCATAAAGACTAGTTTTAAAAGCATTTTAAATTAAAAATAATATTTAATTATTTGGACTCTGTTTTAAGTAAGAAAAAAACACTTTTGCTTTAACATTTTATTATGCAAAGGCAACACCATGGCTTTTTTGAGTGAGGCCGGAGGAGAGGGAGGGCACCAGGCCGAGAGGAGGACAAGTCAGAAGCTGTGACTATGAACTATGATACGACTCTTGATTTCAAACAGAACAATTTGTTTCTTGCTTCTACCTATTACACAATTTACTCTATAATTTTTAGGTTGGTAAATGTCTCACTTTTATAACTGGGTTGGACAGCCAGGCTGATGTCCCATGGTAAAGATTCATATTAATGCTAAATTCAGGAAAGAATTCAGTGACACCAGAGTACTGTATCACATTACGAAGATTCCCAAAGGGACACTAACAGGAGTCTTTAAAAATTCACATTTCATTGCATAAGTCTTACATTTTAAATAGCAGTGTGCTTTTTGACAGAGGAAAACCATGAGCTCTTTCAGGATTTTGTAATTGCACAGGTTTCAAACTTGTTGACTGGTAATCTATATGGAAAGTATCAAGTGATTTTACTTACTTGGCAACTGCCACAAATTAATGCTTTAGCAGGGGTGTTTTAAAATGTACCTGTAGCCACAAGGAGTTACATTTGTGCCAGGACCCGAGACAGCCCTCCACCCCACGTTGGTAAAAGCCATTGCCTGCCAGTTTTCACTCTCACAGAACAGTCAGACAAGGAAGAGAGACATTCTGTACTAACAGTGCTATCTGGCAGGCACTGGGGCAACAGAGAGCAGAAGAATGGACACTGAGAATGAGGTTCATGACGTGCCTCACACCTCACACTTCTCTCCGCCATCTCTCCGCCATCCCTCCACCCTCGCCAGGAAGAGTTAGTTCATTCTTTCTGCATTTGCAGAGGTGCACGTCAGGTAGGGCTGGCTTGGTTAAAGGGCCAAAGCTGCCACTTAGGAAAGTTATAAGCAGCCAAATACACTGGGTGTCAGAAGCGACTCACACACTGAAGTTTGCACGTCTTACTGATTTTAACTGTGATGTCTGTGGCCCATGAACAGTAGGTAGGATAGAGAAGTGGGGAGGGCCCCAGGCTGGTAAAGAAAAAGTGTTAAAACTAACCATGAGAAAGTGAGTGAGACAGGATCCCAGAATGTGGGAGCTGGCGGGCACTTGGTCCTGGCCCCTTCGTGCTGTGGGGAGGAAAGGCAGTAGAGGAGAAAGAAGGCGAGGACAGGGCGGCAATGGACCAGCTGTGCTTCTGGCACGCAGTCCTCCACCCATAGCTTAAAAACACACAAAATGCTCACAAGGGGGAAAAGGAAGGAACAGTGAACTACCCTCCCCCAACACTGGCCAGGCAGAAAAGGTAAGGAACCAGGAAATGTCCTTGAGCAACAGGGCACTGCGGGCCAGGCGAGGAGTGGAGGCTGGAAATTCAGCTGTGAGTGGAGAACATGCCAGGGGATGTGCAATCTGACAGCCAATGCCAGCTTCCTTGTAAGACACAATTCCTAGAACCTGAGCCATGCAGACAGAGGGCCGACCAGGTGCCCCTTGCCCACAGCAACACTAGACCCCTAGTTGGACACCTAACACTTGCTTTACCTAATGCTGCCCATCTGGGGGGTGGGGTGGGCTGGAAACATATCTATGAGACAACAGACAGACATGATGATAACTCTACACATTTGCCAAGTGTTCAGGAGAAAGCTGACTTGCAAGATACAGACACAGTTCACCTACGTGCAATCCAAAACTGGACCTGCCCAAAGCTTCTGGTTGCAGTGTAGCTAGATTTTAATGTTACAACTAAAAAACAACAAAACAACAAACCTCTTTCTCGTGTAACACTTGTTCACAAGATCATCTCAGAGTCCATGTTTAATTTCCCTTTTGTGTGAGCCTTAGTCTTATATGAAAGTTTCTGGAGGGAGCATGTCACAGAAAGCTGGGGAGCCGGGAGACAGGCAGCTCAGAGATTCCTCAAGAGCAGAGTCACCTCCCAGAAAGACAGCGGTCTCAGGAAGAGGGGGTGGATCGGATGGTTTCCCTGGCTCTGTCCAGCGCCAGCAACTGATGAATGGGCAGTGTTCTAATACAGCACAAGGCACAGCCAAGTGCTCCATAAAGTGATTTAGCAGGGGTGATGCAGAGACTGTCGCTGAGAGCTGAAGCAGTGAAACAGCAAAGGAAGTCGACAGCCTGATGGGTGCTGACCTTTGTGTCTGTGTGTGGCTCACACCCTTCCGTGGTCATTAGTCTCTGGTAACAGCATTCTGGTCCACATCTGTCTTCTAACCTCTTCTCAAACCTGTTCACAGAGTTCCGCACCGGGACACGTGCGGACACGGGGAGGGTGGAGACATGACCTGGACTTGTTCAGACAGAGGACCAGTAGCCACACTGCCCTCCCTGACTGTGGGGAACTTGCAGGGACCTTGACCTTGGCTTTGAACTCTAGCTCTGCTGCTCATTGTTCATCATTCATATCACCATAAGCAAGCTGGCCTTTCTAAACCTCCACTTCCTCATGGCAAAATGTGGACAACATCGCCCTCATGGGATAGCGAGGAAGACTGGCTCTGAAAATCTCCTCTACCGACCCTGAGCGCTCCTCGCACGGGTCAAGGCCCACAGCTTCACTGCAAGAACATGGTGTGATGGATGTCAGGGATGGGCCGAAACAGACGCAGCCGCGAAGGGTGTAGGCAAAGCACGGGAGAAGTGGCAGAACATGTTTCTATTTACCCGCCCTCCCTACTGTGTCTCCAACAATCCTTCCATCTTCCTTGCTTGGTTTCAGATGCTGCCAAATTTTAAACCAACTAGACAATTTTGGCATTCAAGAGCCAAGCAATCAAAATGACTGGATTCACAAATGGGAACTTGTATCAGACACTTTCAAAGACATGGGCACAACTCTTGAAAGGAGTTCCTGGCCTCGGAAGTCCTCCTGGGGAGACTGACGGTTTGCTAGGAAGGGAACTAGGAAGGGAACGTCTAGGAATCAAAGGCTCATCTGAGGGTAATGAGCATGGGATCCATCTACTGAGCGCAGGACTCCCAGCTGGAGGGAGGAGGTGGGGAGGCTGACCGTGAGGGGATGAGGGAGGCAGAGCAAGAACCACGCTCACTGTCAGGTCCAGACCTCCTGCCTTCTAAAAAGTGGGAACAGACACACCCCCTTCTCCAGACTCTGCAGGTGACTGAAATGTGTCACCCGAAAAGGGTAGTGAGAGAGACTCTGTGGGGCAACTTCTCCTTAAGATGCATCTCCTCTTCTGAACTGTTCCCTTCATTAGAACTATTACTTCTCTTTGTTAGGCTTCAACGATTTCCAATGGAGAGAAAATGACAGCCTGAAAAGGCAGCATATACTTCACCAGTCTAGAAATTCTGGTTCCTGTTAAACAAGTCTTCTGAGGACAGGCTGGCCTGACGTGCCATTGCTGGATACCACCGCCCAGAGAGAAATGCCACATCTGTGTGACCACCAGCCTCAGAAAGACCCCACAGCTTGCGCCCCTCTCCCATCCCCTCTCTGCATGCTCTGTGCCTCCTCCATTCGCAGGAACAGCCTTCCTCTGTGGGCTTCTCCGAAGCTTCAAGCAATGACCAACCCCGAATGCAGTGTTTCCACCTGGGTGAGGAGTGTGGCTCACACCCCACTCCCAACACCACCCCTCACCACACCATCATAAGCCTCCTAACCGCTTAGGGTTGCAGACTTAGCAACTAAAAATACAAGTCACCCAGTTACATCTGAATTTCAGATGAACATCATATAAGTTTTTAGTATATCCCAAGTATTGGATGAAAAAATATTTATACTAAAATTATGTTATTTACACAAAATTAAAATTTATTTGGCATCCTGTATTTTATCTGGCAATCCCGTACCATAAAACACTTTATTTGGTTTTAGGTACTATCTGTTAAATGTTTGGGATATCTAAAGATTTGAGCATCCCACCCAACTTACCCTTCGTTCAATGACATAAACCCTGTATAATTATATAGTAAATTACAATTGAGAGTTGCATGGTCTTAGCACAAAGTTCTGTTTCTCCCAAGCTGCCTCCCATGGGTAACCACGTGGATGATCTCACTGCCTTCTCCAGTAGAGACGGGATGATGGCAGTGAGTGACTGATGGGTCCAGGACCATTTGTTACCTAAAAACCTTTCTTCTAACACCCCTGCTCACCAGCAGCCCTCAGAGGGCTCACACAATGGGAACCGGTCGTTCTGGTTACATGAGCACATGGCCTCCACAGGCAAACCCCCTGCTTCTGAGACTGAGGAGGAAGAGACACTGGGAATGGTGCCATGAGAAAAGGGTCTCATACCTTCAAACCACCCCTCACTCCCCTTCTCACCCTGGCCAGCAGCCAGTCTCCCTGCCAGGAAGTAGCACCCATGGCCTGGAGGGCTCTCTTACCAGTGTGCGTGAGCATGTGCCTCTGGAGGGAGCTGGCCCAAGGGAAGACACGGGGGCAGTGGGGACAGTTGATCTTCTGCAGGCAGTTGGCGTACGAGTTCCGCTTTGCCCTCAGCAGCTTGTCTTCCGGGGGACTGCCTTGCTCTTCATCACTAGGCCCGTTGTGGTCAGTAGGGGTGCCGGCCACCTCGTCCTGAGCATCATCCTCCGCTGTCTGCAGAAATGGACTGAACTTGTTGGTGTCTGTGGTGGCCAGCATCTTCTCGATGCTGGCAAATTCCCCGCTGGAGTCCAGGTCCACCCCACCACTGCTGGTACGGGGTCGGCTCCTCAGCCCCCTTTTCCGGCCCCTCTTCTTTGACAAGCCAACTGGCCCCTGCTCCGTGGGTGAAGCTGCCTCTGGACTGTTGGCAGCAGGGGGTGGGTCGCTGGATTCTTTTGGGCTGGTGGTGTCAGTGGGTGCACTGGCTGCTTTGGCGATGGTGCCTCCTAAGCTGTCCGAAGCTGTGGTGTTACTGCCAGTGCTTGTGGGCCCTGGGTCAGCCACCTTGGTTTTCAGCAAGGTGGGGGCTGAGGACACAGAGGAGATGATCTGGGCGATGGAGGCCAGTGGGGGCAGCTCTTCTGTCACCGGGGGCTTTGGCAAGAGCAAGGGGGGCTTGGGACGTAGGGGCCGCAACAAGGCCGAGCTGCTTATGAGGGTGGAGTTGCCCAAGAGAGGGGAGCTGTTGATGAGGGTTGATGAGTAAATGGGGACAGCGACCTGAACGGAGCCCTGCAGTGGTTGAGCATGGGCTTCCGGAGCAGTGGCTGCCGAGGCTGCTGCTGAAAGGGCCAAGGGTTTTTCCAAGATCCCGCTGGGCCCCAAGGTCACTGGCAGAGTAGGGCATGGGGGTGGACAGGGAGAAGATTGCTCCCTGCTCCCTGGTTCTTGCTCAGGCTTCTTGGCTTCACCGGGAGCAGCAGAATCCTTGTCTCCTCTTCTGAAGTTCTTGGGGATGGACAGGTCAATGGGCTCCATGGAGCAGTCATACGGGGCCGAGGAAGAAGGGCTCAGGAACAAGGCTGTGTTTTCCTGCTTCACTTGGACCAGGGCCAGGCCCTTCTGGGAGAAGTCCAGGGGCTCATTGAAGTCTACTGAGAAGTTGCTCGTGGGCTCCAACTTGATGGTGACGTGGGGAGGCGGAGGCTGGGTGGGGTTCCCGTGAAGATAGCCGTTCTGGGACTCCAGGAAGGTGGCAAGGGATTTGTGCTCGCCAAAGGCCCCGTTGCCCTCCTCCATCCTCCCCGAGGCTTCGGCACAGGGGGCCTCCTTGGGGCTCAGGCCATCCGCTGCCAGGACGTAGCTCTCGATGTCGTGCTCTGGCACGTGCAGGTGCTGCTTAAGGATGTGGTGGATGCAGTTGCGCTTGGCCGAGAAGGCGGCACTGCACTCCTTGCATTCGAAAGGCTTGTGACTTTTGGGGCAGCTGCCCAGGCCAGGGCCACAGTGCGAGCGCATGTGGATGCGCAGGGCGCGGTAGTGCTTCAGGTCCTCTCCGCACAGCCGGCACACCGTATCTGGGGAACAGAAGGCATCCACCATCTCAGCCGCGCTGCTGGTCACGTACTCGATGTTCTTCTCAATATCCTTGCGGGTGGCCTTGAGGTGCTTTTTGCGCAGGTGCCGCTCACAGTTGGCCTTGACAGTGAAGGGGTAGTGGCAGATCTTACAGATATAGGGCCGCTCACCGCTGTGTGTGCGCAGGTGTCGGATAAGCGCGGCCTTGTCAGCTGCAATGTAGTCACAGATGTTGCACTGGTAGGGAGAGATGCCCAGGTGGGAGCGCACGTGTGCACGCAACACCCCTGAGAAGGCGAACACCTGGTTGCAGAAACGGCAGGGGTAGAGCACCTTACGCATGACTGGAGATTTCTTGCTGCTGGGACCCGTCATGATGGCCTTGAGGTCTCCCTCCGTAATCTCTTGCTTGATCTTGGCATCCATGCTCAGTGGCAGCAGGGCCTCGATGATGCTGTCCTGCTCCAACTGCGTCTTCATCTCTGCCTGGCCAGGCAGCTCCACGCCTGGCTGCTGCAGGAATAGCTGCATGGCTGTGTGGGGCTGGGCCCCAGACTTGGCCTGCAGCAGGTGGGCATTAGAGGCCACCTCCACTGAGCTCTTGAGGAGCTTCAGGGGTGGCGGGGGCAGGCTGGGGCTGATGCAGCCGGGGGAAGCCTGCTGGGCATTGATGAGAGGGGGTGGTGTTGAGGTGGCCACCACTGTCCTCGGTGTGACCAAGGGCTTTGGCTTCAGAGGGGGCATGTGCTTGAAAATCGCCTGCAAAGGGGTGACAGGGGCCTTGGAGAGAGGTGGAAGACTGATTTGAGGGGGTGCTGAGGCTGCCATCTTCAGGATCTGCTGGATGTCAGCCAGCTCAATGGCTGACTCCCCAGAGATGGGCTTGACCACAATACTACTGTCAGGCTGGATGATGAAGCCTTTTTGGAAGGGCTGCAGGGATAGGTGCTTCATGTTCTCCTTGGTAGCTGGGAGGACTGTGAGAGAACCGCCCAGGGAAGAGGCTTCAAAAGGAGACAGCCTCAGCAGGTTGGTACAGCCAGGGTCCTGAGGTAGCTGACACTTGAGTGTCTGAAGCTGTATTGCTTGGTTGTCATCTGGCAGGGGCTCCTCGGCCGGGACAGGCCTGACATCTTTGGTGTGCTGCAGGCCCAGAAAGGCCAGGAAAGCCTTCTGGTCCAGGGTGTCACCAGACAGGGTCTTGGCTTGCAGCCTTTCCCGTCCCTGGTCCCCAGTGATGTGGGTCTGCTTGTGCAGGGTGAGTGAGGACAGCATGGGGAATGCCTTGTCGCAGATGTCACAGATGAAGCGGTGCTGCTCGCTGATACACCTTCGCAGGTTTGTCTCACACCAGGCCTGCAAAAGCAAGAAAATAAAGAGGAGAACTTAAAAATCTTCACTAAACTGAGATACTGAAAGTGTCTGTTGTACAGCTGAGCCAGCATCCAGCTTTCTCCATAAGGCACATGGAGCTACCTTTCCTTGCTCACTAACTCCTGGATCAAATAAGGAAAAAAAACACAAGCACCTTAACAATCATGTTTTCTTGGATGACATCAACCCCCCAGGATATCTTTGCAGAGAAGCAATGAAGTGTAGTAAAGTAATAATACCATGATGGTAGAATTTTCTTTTTAAAAATGGGTGCCCTGCAAAACTAACTGACAGGGACTACCTACCATCAGTGGAGAACCAGCTGTTTCTGTGCTACCAAGAGAGAGGGAGTGCCACCTGGGTAACGTGAGCGCACACATACGGGTGCCTACATACGGAACTGAACTTGAGGCTTATGGATGGGGAGAATTTCACTGTTATCTTCTATCTCAATTTTTAAAAAGATTTTATTTACTTTTATTTTTAGAGAGAGGGGAAGGCAGAAAGAAAGGGAGAGAAAAAAACATCATGTGTGGTTGCCTCTCCCATGCCCCCAACTGGGGACCTGGCTTGCAACCCAGGCATGCGCCCTGACAGGGATCAAACCTGTGGCCTTTGGTTCACAGGTCTGTACTCAATCCACTGAGCAACACTACCGGGGCTCAATTTTTAAAAATTGGAAAAAAGTAGATTCAAAGTAGTTTTAGCAGGTGCTTTATAAGCAAAGAATAAATATAGCTCAGGTTAATTAAAGACCCAAAACATTTTATACAAAAACTACAATGCTGAAAAAGACTTAGCTTGCAATGTAATTAAAGAAGCATTAAAAAAATAACACAGATTCAGTTCTGATAGGGCTGGCATTGGTAAACAATTCGTAACTTTAAATCCAAATGCCTGAAGAACAGGCAAAAGCACTGATGGGCTAGACTCAGATGCAAGTGAATCTGAAATTCAAAAAATTAAAGGCCACCTACACTTCTCAACCTAGCAACTCAAAGAAGACTAAAAGGGCCAAACTGAATTTCAAGGGAAAAGGTGGTGTTAGAAGAAAACCCAACAGACCTCATTTTTTAAGGAAAGGGAACCTCAGGGTGAAGAAGTGAAGTCCAACTATGTGGACCATGGAGGAGGAGGCCGCTGGTTCTGCTGGCCAATGAGCATACCTGAGAAATCCGAGGAAATTTCCTACAGGAGAAGTCAGTGAATCCCAAGTCGTGGAAGCCAGCGGGAATGGAAGGGTTGTTCTGGATGAAAGGCCTTCCCATCGCATCTCTGGGAAGCTGTTTGTGGACAAGTGCATTGTGGCGTAGTAATCCTCGATGTGTTCGAAAGGTGACGCAGCAGATGTCACATCTGGGAAGAAGAAAAGGACAGGATATAAGGAGGCAGCCAAGCCAGAATTTCCACCCGTCCATTTGTCCTTTTGCATTTTTTTGCCGCTTCATTTTTTAAGTAAATAAAAATGAAATGATACATTATCATTATAATAAATGAAAATATTACAAATGATATGACATCAAGAAGCCAGTCTGCTCATGGTTAGCAACAAAACACTTTTCCTTTAAAAAAAATTATACCCTAACAACTTGTGGATATCAAAGCTTTGCAGACAGCATAGGTGTATACACTGTCACAAGCCTACTCATCCAAATGATGTCCCATACGGGGATCATTTCATAGGTTTTCTCCCTCTCTCTGCTCAGTGGCTCTTGATCATAAAACATGTTTGAAAGTCAAAAAGCACAGAATTACATATCTTGAGCAATCACAGCAACATCCCTGGTATGTGATCAGTATAAAATGATAAATTCTTTAACTGAACTAGTAACATGTGATAGTAATGATATATTCAATTCTGACATTATTACCGTCATTATTTGACAAATAACCACAGCTCCCACCTATTAAGCCCTCACTACACACAGGACACACCACAGGGCAGCATGCACACTCCTGGTAGGTTGATGGACGAGCAGCCTAACCTCCATCTCACAGGTGAAAACACTCAGGCTGAGGTCACATAGCTTGTAAGAAGCAAAGACAAAATGTGAGGCCTGTTCATGCTCCCACCACCGCCTACTGTGAGGCTATCTCCCTTTCCTAGAGAACCCCCACCAATGTAGTCCCTATAAAGATCATCCATCACACATCACTTTAGAGATGACCTCCTTCTTCACCTTAAATGTCCTGGGCCACACATGCACCAAAAACACCATTTAAAAATATTTTTCCACTTTGCATACCTGTGTTGTCTCTTTTCTAGGTTTTCACTGAGAACCACCATGTTAAAACTATACAATCATTAGGATATTATCAACATCCTCTGTACCAGTGATTTTCAACCTTTCTCATCTCATGGCACACATAAACTATTATGAAAATTTTGCGGCACACCAAAAAAAAAAAATATTTTTTTGCTGATCTGACAAAAATACACCTAATTTTTTGGACCATAAGATGCACTGGACCATAAGACACACCTAGGTTTTAGAAGAAAATAGGAAAAAAAATTTGAAGCAAAAAAATGTGGTAAAAACTTAGTAACATAAATAACACAGGCTGCCCCCCACAGTGAGCCAGGCAAGCTACATTTGGACTGTAAGACACACCCCCTTTTTCCTCCCAAATATGGGTGTGTGTGTGCATCTTATAGTTTGAAAAATACGGTAGGTATAATTTTGAATCATTCATACCACATGGCTATTGTTATGTTGGCTGCTGTCATTTTTTTTATTTGACAGTGTAAGGGGAAAGAGGTCAGTGTCCCTGACTAAATAGTCAAGTGTTGTATGTTTTAAAAATTCTTGTGGCATATGAGTTGAAAATCTAGACCATCACTAGAGCTACATGGGGCTATTTAAATTAATAGAAATGTCCTCAGTCCCACTGGCCTTGTTTCATGGGCACATTCCCACAGTTGTAGCACCACGTGCCAAGCATCATTCCGGCACTTACATGTGTATGTGCATCTGCCCCACACAAAACCTCCAAGGCAGGTCAGGTCCTCTTGTTGCTTTATGGAGAAAGAACGTGGGGCACAGAGGAATAATACAACACTGCATATACCTTAGTGGCAACATTTTTTGCTTTGAAATTCTTCTTTGGAAATAAAGAGATAAGGAAGTCACCCGTGAAGCAGCTAAGCTCATTTTCATCTGGGGATGAAAGAAAGAAGTGCCAAGTATGTGCAACTCTGCCTCCTTTATCACGCACAGGCAGGGCACGGCCAGTGCGGTTCTGCTGTGTACCTGCCTCTCCTATCTCCACTGCCAACTTGGCTTCATCTTGCCATCAAGATTCCTGCCATCATTCAATTAAATTTAGAATACTGGGTTCCTCCAAGCCACTCAAAATGTGAAACACCTTTTGAGGGAATTCTGCTTAAGCTTACCATTGGCTCTAGGGAAGAGATGGCTTCAAAGAGCCCCAAATGCCTGTAGGTACTGAAAGTTCTCACAGCAGTGGGCCCAGACAAACCTCAAACCTCAAACCTCAGGAACCATTCCCTGCCAAAGTACCAAAGGGCAAAATCACAGACTGGGACAGTTACACAGAGAAGCAGAATGGTTGCAGGCACTCCAGGTGAGGCTCTTTCTGGCCAGAACATGGTCAAGTTCCACACTGTATACTCCAGGGAGCTGCCACCCTCGCAGCCCCACAACCACTCTGTCCTGTCCTACTGCCCTGGAAAGGGCACTTCCTCTTCTATCACCCTTAGTCCTCCCAAGCTCAAGTTCAGTGGTACGTTCCAGGTGGCCACTAATCCCCATGCTACCATCTGCTGAAAGCTTTGTACTATGTTGAAAGGATGAGAAAACATCTGAATTGGGGAAATTTAACACTAACCAGACATTAGATGATATTAGAATATTACTGTTAACTTTTTAGATCAGCGAATTTCAACTGGTGTGTCACAAGAATTTTTAAAACAGGTAATACCTGACTATTTAGTCAGGGGCACTGACCTCTTTCCCCTTACACTGTCAAATAAAAAAATGACAACAGAAAACACAACAATAGCCATCTGCTGTGAATGAATAAAAAAAAAACTCATTACTAATGGTTAATGAGAGTGGGCTGACTGGTTGACTCTTTTTTCCAAGTTTCAACAATGTCCAAACCACTACTTGCAGGTGTGTGTGTTGGGGCTCAATTTATAAAAACTCCAGAAGAGAAGCCCCTACACTGAGTCTCGCTATGACATGGGCAATGTGAAGGAGCCTATGTCTTCAGCAAATGCTCTGGACAGAGGGGCCGGGGGCCTGGAGGGAGGCACCCAGCCCAGGGCTCAGGCAGTCCCCACGTCATGGGATTTATAGGCTGGCAGAGTGAGCCACCCAGTATGGGATGGGTGGTCAAGCCTATGGACCATCTGGTTTGGTACTTGCTGTAACCCAGTGGGCCCTACAGGCATCTTCCACTTGAACTTGACATTAAAGCACACTTCTCAAATTCATAATTAGCACTGCCTACATACATTTTGTGTAGAACATCTGTAGTGTTTTAAGTTAATTTTTACTAGTGCTGGGCACTATCCTGGATGCTGGGACACTGCAACAAATACCTAAACTCATTTCATCCTAACAACCAGTGAGACAAACAGCATCAGTATGATGCAATGATTGTGTGATCCTTTAATCATGCGTGAAGGCCAAGGCCTGTTCCTAAGCTCATCTTTCCCCTGTGAAAACTACAAGGCTTACTTTGCTTTGCAGAAAGGGGCTCATTATCCAAAATCAGGTAAAGGGGGGTGGGGATGGGCTCATAGAAAATAATTCATGCACACCTTAAGTACTTTACTTAACCTAGACAGTTAAATAAACAGTGAACGCTGAGGACTAAGAAGGGCTCCTGGTGCCTAACTGGTAACAAATAAATAAATAGATAAATGCAGAGCCTAGCAGCCATTTCTGCACAGGGACCTTTCACACAACTGCACATAGATGAGAAGCCTCCTCGCTAAGCTGCCAGTCTCTGTACAGAACTGCCTGCCTGTGCTGTGTTGCTACAGCCTGAGCCAGCCCTTATTAGGGTTTCCTGGAATCCTATTTCAACCAGTAGGACCAAGACTTTCCCTAGTCAATCAGAGCTGCACAACCCTGGCCAATCAGAGCAGCTGCATTCTGACCAATCAGAGACTAGGGATGGGGTCTTCTGTCTATATAAGCCAGCTCTCCTCTGGCTCTGGGAGCCATACCTCTTACAAAGACTGCCTTCCCCTGCCTTGAACTGAAACAGATTCCTCACTGTAGCAGAAAAGACCTACACAGAGCAGAGCAGAGCAGACCATCACTAGCTGCCTATCTGAAGAGGGGCCTGGTCTTGGGGCCGTCTGGATCCCCAGCAGCCTCACAGCAAGCTGTTTCATAACAGTGCTGTTTTCACAGCCAAGCCGTATTACTGTTGACTGTTTGCACTAAATAAAGTTTCCTTCTTCACCACACCCCAAATTGGGGATTCCTGTTGGTGTATGAATTGGTGCCAACAACCATCAGATGACAAAACACATTCAGTTGATCCTCATTATTTGTGAATTCTGTATTTGTGAATTTGCCTGTTCATTAAAATTTACTTGTAAACCCCAAATTAGTACTTGCAGCACTTTCTTGGTCAGTCATGGATGTGCACAGTGCTGTGAAAAATTTGAGTTGTCCTAGGTACACTTTCCCAGCTGAGGTCAAATGAGGAGACACTCTGTCTTCTTGTTTCAGCTCTCACACTGTAAACAAATGCCTTTCTTGCAGTCTATTTAGTGCCACAGTCTATTTATAGTGCCTTTTGTTGGTGATTCTGCTGTTTAAAATGGGTTCCAAGCATAGTGCTAAAGTGTTGTCTAGTTCCTATGTGCAAGAACGCTGTGATGTACCTTATGGAGAAAGTAACAGTTTTAGATAAGCTTCATTTAGGCATGAGTTGTAGTGCTGTCAGTTCTGAGTTCAATGTTAATGAGTCAATAGTATTTATTAAATAAGGTGATTTACACAGAAACAGACATAAAATGAGTGTTGTGACCCTGTTTCCTGTAGGATCAATGGTTCAGTATTTCTGAATCCTGTGTTCACAGTGCCTTTACAGAAAATAACTATAGTGAATAACAAGAACTGATTGTACACTCATTCACCCATCGTACGTGTGAGTCTACTTCCACTGAGTGAACTTCCATGTTGCCACTGCTGCATGAATCATACTCAGAACATCTTTGATTTCCAGCTAGATTCCTTAGGGGAGAGCAAGAACCTACATTTTTGCTAACCAAACTAAACCAGAATCCTGTGTTTTTATGATTATTTTTCAATTGTTTATAGGTGTCTTGCCCACCATAAGGTGACACCAATTAAAAAAAAGGGTCCAAT